AAATTAAATAAATAATAATTTTTTTAATTTTAAAAATAAATAAATAAATAAAATGGCACATCTTAAAGTGAGATTCGCATTCTTTTCTGTTTTGTTCTTTAAGAAATTTTTGTTATAGGACATGTGTGCTAGCCAGAGAGACAGAGAGAAAGTGAGTAATCACCCCCCCCCAGGGGCGATGGCCACATGGCAATCCCTTCTCCTCCATTCTCCTCTCGAGATCTTGAGCACACGTACACACGCCCAGCGTGAGTTTCAAGCCGCTGGATTTGGGACTCAAATTGTGATGGGCAATTGTGGGAGTCCAGCACTTTAACCACTACGCCACCTGCTGGTCCCTTTGTTTTATTTTTTAACGCCCTCTCACTTTCCTTGTACCAACGATGGATTTGTAGGGTAGTCACAGCTGTTGGGTTTTCTTTCCTCTTTTTCTCTCCAGTAGAGAAAATATAATTTAGCTCAATTTTTTTTCCCCAAAATGTTCTGAGAGTGAAAATAATAACATACCTAACAAACCTATTTGAATGAAGGCGACATATAATTTGCATGATAAAGATATATTTCCATGTATAAAGTTCATCAGTTGAATTAGTGACAAATACAGAAAAGATCCAATTAAAGTCCCCCCCCATCTATTAACAATCTCGCTTCACTCTCAGGACAGGAATTTCAAAAGGTGAGGCTCCCCGTTGGAAACGATTTAAATATTAAGGTGGGTGGCATTAACAAGGACATGAAATGATCATATTAGAAGTCAAGGACAAGAGAGTCCCCAGTGATCTTTGTCATCTGAGTCAGATACACTCCCCCTGACCCCCCAGTTTCCTCGGGCTTTTTCTTGTTCACCCAAATGAGCTGTCAGGAGCTGATGGGATGTCTTTATAATCAAATAAAACAAGCTTGCCCTTTAAAGCTAAAGAGGTAATTTGGCTGTAAGCAAATGGGAAGCATTTTATACAACGTTGCATTTCCAGCCCCAGATCTCTGAAGAATAGGCTTGTTTTGATTTATGCCTGAGAGCTTTGCGGGTCATGCGGAGAAGTGCATTCATTCAGTACTTTGCTCACATTGATCCTGTGGCTGTGGGGCAAAGATCCTTCATCCTCAGAGAGGCCACAGAAGCTCCATGGCTGTCCCCGAAACTTTCATGTCCGGAGAAACCTAAGGAACACACAAGATTGACTAGAAAGCAGGAAGTATGTGTGGTGAAATAGAATGCACCAGGGCTAGCAGGTGGTGTGGTGGTTAAGGGCGCTGGACTACCACATGGCTGACCATGGTTCGAGTCCTGGACCTGGTAGCTTGCTTTCTTACTTTCTCTCTCTTTCTCTCTCTCTCTCTCCTCTCTCCCTCTCCCTCTCTGGTCAAATTTAAACAAATAAATAAAGTTACATAAAATCTTTAAAAAAAAGAGAGAGAGAGAGAGTGCACCTCAGAGGTCAGCAGGTGGCATGGTGGTTAAGGGCGCTCAATTCCCACGTGGTTGACCGCAGTTCAAGGCCTAGACCTGGTGGCTTGCTTTCTTACTTTCTCTCTCTCTCTCTCTCTCTCCATGGTCAAATTAAAATAAATAAATAAAGTTTAATTGGGACCAGCAGTTGGCGCAATGGCTATGTCGCTGGACTCCCATGTAGTTGACCTTGATTCGAGGACCCGGTGGCGCAATGGCTATGTCGCTGGACTCCCATGTAGTTGACCTTGATTCGAGTCCCGGACCCGGTGGCTTAAGCTCATGCTGGGCACATGTGTGTGCGTGCCCAAGATCCTGAGAGGAGAATGCAGAAGGGATTGCAGCATGGCCATACCCCCGGGACAAGGGGTGATTTCTCGCTTTTTGTCTCTCTGTCTTTCTGGCAAGTGCACATGCCCTATAGCAAAAAACCTCTCCAAAATAAATAAATAAATAAATAAATAAAATAGTTCTTTTAAAAGAGAGAGAGAATGCACCACCCAGGCTCCCTCAACAGGGGCTTCCTACTGGTTTTGGCCAAGGAGAGACACTGCCTTTAGACTGGAGGAAGGGGGATGAGAGAAACCAGGGTATTTCTCCCCACCTCACTGCTTTGGGCTGCGTTTCCTTTGGGTGGTCATGGCTGTGGTTCAAGCGTCCCCTGGACTCCAATGTGGTTGGTGTCTTCCTGCTATTAGAAATTACTGGGTGGCTTGGGACCAGCAGATGAAGTTAACGATTACGTTGCTGGACTCCCACATGGCCAACCAGGGTTTGAGTCTTGGATCGGAAGGCTTGAAATTCACACATCAGGTGCTTGTGCGTGCATGCCCAAAATCCCGAGAGGAGAATGAAGGAGAAGGGATTGTAGCACGGCCATCCCCCCTCGGGGGTGATTTCTCTCTTTCTGTCTCTCTGTCTTTCTGGCAAGTGCACATACCTCATAGCAAAAATATCTCTCTAAAAAAAAAAGACAAAAGAAAAAAATATCATTGGCTAGCTTTCCCTTCCCTGGGTGGCCTCTCACCTCTTCTGCCGCCAGTATAATCAGTTCTCTGCAGTTAAAGTTTACTTATTTATGAACGAATGAGAGAGACAGAGACAGGGACCCCTGACAAGGGTCTTGCCATGGTAGGATCCTCCCTCTAGTTTTCTAGCCAGCCAGGCACACCCAGCACGTTCAGGTCCACCCGGGATTCGAACCCCAGGCCTTCCCATATGGCTCCAATACTTCACAGCCGACTTCTCCAACACTGTGGCTAGGCCAGTTCCCTGGATTTAACTCCTTAGAACAGCGTCTGTTTTCCTGATTGGTCTCTACTTGACTGGCATGCTTGAGACTCCCCTCCACACTTGTTCCTTCAACCCTAGTGGCTCTAATCTGGTCACAAAGCTCTAGTTAAAAGCCCTGGGTAAAGGGCCCAGCAGGTGGCATAGTGGTTAAGGTACTGGCTTACTGGCTTCCCATATGGCCAACCACAGTTCGAGTCCCGGACTCAGCACCTTGAAACTCACACTGGGTGTGTGTGCGTGCATGTCCATAATCCCAAGAGAAGAGTAGAGGAGAAGGGATTGTGGTGTGGCCATCCCCCCGGGGGAGAGTGATTCTCACTTTCTCTGTCTCTGTCCACCTGTCTGGCGAGCACAGGCACCTGATAGCAAAAATAATAAAATTTAATATAAAAAAAGATCTGGGTAAAAGCTGCAGAGCACCCACCATGGGCTCCTGGCATCAGCCCTTGTGGCTGGGATGCTCACTGTAACCACATGGATGTCAGCGTGGTTACGCTAACTTCTGCTCCTTCCTGTCTCAGGTTGTCCCAGGCCCAGACGGTCAACCACCGTCTCCATTTCCAAGGCCAAGAAGGCTCCTCCCAACATGGCTTTACATGTCCTCACGGCGGTGGCCCCGTTCTACCAGAGCCCCGCCACGGACAGGGTCAGGCTGAAGACAGAGCTCTCCAAAAAGCCAGCTGATCCGCTGCAGCCCTCGGCCCCCTCCAAGACCAAGCTCACCACCATCGAGACCAAGAGGATCATGTCCGTACTGGACGAGGCCATCCACAAGGTGGAGCTGGTGACCTTACTGTCGCATGTGGCATCCAATCTGGAGAAGCTGGCGGGCGAGCTGGGAGAGGACACCATAAGGGCCCTGAGGGAGCACGCAGACCTCTGTCAGATCTTCCTGGAGAACATCGACTACCTGAAGGAGCAAGAGAAGCAGGTGCAGTCACAGGAGGAGGCCGAGGAGGAAGGGTGGCTCAGGGACCGCCTCTTCTCCATAGAGCTGCAGAGATCCAGCCTCGGGCCCCTCATGCAGGAGATCAGAGATTCCACCAAGAACATCCTGAGGCTCCTGCTCAATAACCCCCAGGCCACCAGGGTCCTGCAGAAGCAGGCGCCAGACAGGACTCCCGAAGCCCAGCGTTTTATCGCCAGCCTGATGGAACTCCGGGGTTTCCTGTTTGAGAAGCTACTCACCAGTCCCATGGAGGCCAGGGATAAGGCCCAGTTCATACAGGAAATCACCAGACGAACCATGAGGAACCAGGATCTCATCAATACTCTTGAACACGAACTGGCAGCACGCGTGAAGAACAGGGACGCCGAGGTACAGCTTCGTGGCCCTGGTCGCGCCGTGGAAGGGCCATGCGCATGCTGGCCCAAGGATTTTGGTGGTTGGGTTTTTCTTCAGTGATTTAAATAGCTTTTTCAATTTGTCGACTGTTGGGACCAGCAGATGGTGTAGTGGTTACGTCACTGGACTCCCACCTGGCTGACTGTGGTTCCAGTCCTCGACCCGGTGGCTTGAAACTCTTCTATTAGATTTTTTTTTTAATAATTATTTCATTTTATTTATTCATTCATTTATTTTAATTTGACCCCCCCACACACACACAGCAAGCCACCAGATCTGGGACTTGATCCATGGTCGGCCATGTGGGAGTGTCCAGCACCTTAACCACCACCACACCACCTGCTGGTACCCGAAACTCTTTTATTAAATTTTTTTTAGAGCTTTTTGCTATAGGGCACATGTGCTCACCAGAAAGACAGAGAGAAACAGAAAGTGAGAAATCACCCTCCAGGGGGATGGCCACGGCGGAATCCCTTCTCCTCCGTTCTCCTCTTGGGATCTTGGGCATGCACGCACACATACCCAGTGTGAGTTTAAGCCACCGGGTCCGGGACTTGAACCGCGGTCAACTACATGGGAGTCCAGCGACATAGCTATTACGCTAACTGCTGGTCCCCGACTTGGAACTCTTGATGCATGTGTACATGTGCGTGCATGCCCAAGATCCCTGGAGGAGGGGGTTTTTTGTTGTTCTTGTTATAGGGTTCATGCGCTTGCCGGAGACACAGAGAAAAAGTCAGAAATCACTCCCCGGGGGAGTGGGGGGAATGACCATGTGGCAAAGCATTCTCGTATATTCTTCTCTCAGGATTTTGGGCACACACGCGCACACGCCCTGCATGAGTTTCAACCTGCCAGGTCCAGGACTCAAACCACAGCCAGCCATGGGGGAGTCCAGCACCTTAACCATAAAGCCACCTGCTGGCCCCCAATGACAAACTACTCAATAGCCTTGTACTTGGGGACGCATCAGTCGCGGTTCATGCAGCAAATAGGTCACGTGGTTGTGGCCCTTTTTGGCACGGGCGTTCCTTCTTTCTTCGTCATCTTGCAAATGTGGCCGCGAGAGAGGCATGGTGGCTTATCTTCCCCTGTCATGCCAGGGCCTTTGCCAGCCAAGCCCTGCCCCGCTATGCCCTGGGTGGGAGCGTCCCTGCTGTCCCAGACCTCTCCTGTGCCCCTCACTCATGCCAGGAAATAGAAAGTGGTGCCCAAGGACAAGGGCTCCTTGGAGCCAGAAGATGGCGTAATGGTTACATCACTGAACTCCCATATGGTCAACCGGAGGTTCAAGTCCCAGACCTGGTGGTTTAAACTCACGCCAGGCACGTATGCATGCGTGCCGAAGATCCCGAGAGGAGAATGGACGAGAAAGGATTGGAGTGTGGCCATCCGCCCTGGGTCAGGAATGGGGGCGTTAATTTCTCGCTTTCTGTCTCTCTGGCAAGTCCATGCACCCTATAGCAAAAATCTAAGGAAAAAAGAAAAAAAAGAAAAAAAGAACAAGGGCTCTAGGTCAGACAGACCTGGCTTCTGATCCCTGCTCAGCTGTGTACCCCCAATGGCTCCACCTCCTGAGCCTCAGCTTCCCCCACTGGGGTAGGAGGTAGGATCTGGGGAGGGTGCGGTCATGGCTGTCCCTGTGACAGGCCGTAGTCATGCAGGTACTCACCGAGCCCTGCCTCTTCCCGACCCAGGTGGAGAAGGAGAACTTTGTGATCCAGGAACTGAAAAACCACCTGCACCAGGTGCTCAGGTTCTCGGAGAACAACCTCATCCGCACCAAGCAGGAGGCCGAGAAGCAGCAGAAGGCGGACTTCCGAGCCTCACAGGCCAGGGTGGCCAAGATCCAGCAGGAGATCCAGCTGCTGCGCTCCCAGTACCACAACCTGGTCATGGAGAACCGCGAGGCCGAGCAGGCGCTGAGGAAGGTACACCCGGGCAGAGACAGGGGCCGCGAGTGGGCGCGGGACGGTTCCCTTACTCCTGGGAGGCCCAGTGCTGGGCAGGGTGAGGAGCTGGGGCAGCTGAGCCTGGGGGCTGGGGTCAGAGAGCCTGGGTTCCCTTCTCAGTGACCCTGGACAAGTTCCTCAACTCCCTGCCCCCACAGGGATGGTGACCCCCACCCTGTCAGGTGCCGTGCAACGGAAGTGCGCGGCACTTGGACCTCGGCACGTGCTCAGTTCCCTCCGAGCCTGTTTGCACATCTCAAAATGAAAATGAGAAAATAGGTCTGAATGGGTCCTCGTGTGGATCAAATGAGCTGAGAGCAGAGCATGACTGGTGCTTGGTGAGCATCCCTTCTCTACCTTCCTCCCAGCCGTGCCTAGCCCAGGCGTAGCTAGCTTCCAAACTTCTCACAAACGGCACCGCTTTAAATATTTCCAGTCTAGGGACCCGCAGCTGGCGTAATGGCTATGTCACTGGACTCCCATGTAGTCGACCGCGGATCAAGTCTCAGACCCGGTGGCTTAAACTCACACCGGGCATGTGTGCGTGCGTGCCCAAGATCCTGAGAGGAGAATGGAGGAGAAGGGATTGCGGTGTGGCCATCCCCCCTGCGGGGGGATTTCTCATTTTCTGTCTCTCTGTCTCTCTCTGTCTTTCTGGTGAGCACATGTGCCCTATAGCAAAAATCTCTCAAAAAAAAAAATCAATAAAAGAGTTTCAAGCCACCGGGTCCAGGACTGGAACCACGGTCAGCCAGGTGGGAGTTCAATGACATAACTATTACACCATCTGCTGGTCCCAACAGTCAACAAATTTAAAAAGCTATTTAAATCATTGAAGAAAAACCCAACCGAAGGGATTGCAGTGTGGCCATCCCCCCTGGGGGGTGATTTCTTGCTTTCTGTCTCTG